AGTTGGCGAAGCCCCGTTAGCAGTAACGGGCGAAGAACGACTGCTGCTGTACGCAATGTTGGAGGTCGCGGTAAGGAATGTCGAGAAAATTCCTTACAACTCTTTTAGATTTCTCGTTCATACCTACACCGCGAGATATACTTAAGTTGCAGAATGACAATTGAGTTATCTACATGTCAAGTGCGCCTACCATGCAGTTAATAAATATCTATTTTTTTTTTTTCGTCAAACGGTAATGCGCTTGCGAAAGGGTACCTTACGCGCCTAGCACCGAGCTTGGGAATTGTTGAGGCATAGGACCGGGCAGGGCTCTTGCTAGGATTCAGGCCTGTCTGAAGTCCCCCCCCCCCAAAAAATCTTTTTGTCCGACGTTCAGACGGGCAAAAAAAAAAGGTCTGATTCTTCCGACGAAAGTTGGAGCTTAGTCTGATTCATAAGACAAAATGTTTTCCATGGTCTGATTACTGTATTACACTAGTCAGCCATAAAAACGGTATGATTCAGTCTTTACGAAGTACGAAATGATGCGCGACGTTGACAACCTGCTAGCAGACAGTCATGGCAAGTTGGGCGCCTAGGGGGACTGGGGGGGGAGTTGGGCTGCGAGGGACATGCATGGGTCCGTGTCTTACGCGACGGAGCAGGGGGGTGGAGGGACTTGAGGGGAAGGGGGCTGGGCTGGGAAAGGTGTAGGGGAGCTAGACGGGGGAAGGGCGGATGGACTGGGGTTGCGCTGCGAGAGGCTGGGCTGGTAGAGGGGTGACTTGGTGGTGAGGTTGGGTTAGGAGAAGCGCGTGAGGGACGGGACTTAGGGCAGGGGGGACTGATAGCGGGGGGGGGGGGGGGGGGGGGGGGGGGCAGGCCAGTACGGTACTTTCTCGGTATCAGATGAAATTGTACGCGCTGTCTGAATTTTCAGACGGAATATAACACTGTCTTTTTTTTTCAGACGAAATAAAATCATTCGTCTCGTGGTTCAGATGAAAAAAAATCTCTGGTCTGGAAGATCAGATGAAACAAAGAAATCAGGTCTGATTTTCAGACCATCAGACCGATTTGGTCTAATAACCAGAGCCCTGGGACCGGGTCGCGGGCACCAGCCGAGCTAGGTGGCTTTTGAGCATCCAGCGATGACTAGGCTCCACTGCACATACAATTTGATTTTCATTCGATGACTCTGATTTGTTTTGCCTGTTGGGAGAGTCATCACAGAAATGCGCTAGATTCAACTAGAAATGACCGTACACAACGCTGAAAGAATCAGTCCACCAGAGGGTCCATTGAGGGCTCATAGCACAATGACAGCAACTGAGACTGGACCTAGTGGCAGTGGAAGCGAGTCAGAAATTGGAGTGCATGCGTTGGGCATGGGAGGATGGGTGTGGTGCAGCGCTCTCATGGTGCTTGAGGCGAGAGAACGCGCCTGACAGGCGCTCAATCTCCTGCAAAACATGGGGTGTGGGATGTTGGAGTCACACACAGTTGGCAGGTGCATGACTTGTGCAACACGTTTCCTACATACCACTTGCAAACACAGGTCATTTGAAAACATGCAGATGCTACGCAACACATCTCTAGCATGCATGTGAACACACACGCCATGCATGCGAACACACACGCCATGCATGCGAACACACACGCCATGCATGCGAACACACACGCCATACATGAGAACACACACGCCATGCATGCGAACACACATGCCATGCGTGTGAACACACACGCCATGCATGTGAACACACACGACATGCATGTGAACACACACGCCATGCATGTGAACACCCACGCCATGTATGCGAACACACACGCCATGCATGAGAACGCACACGCCATGCATGAGAACGCACACGCCATGCATGAGAACGCACACGCCATGCATGCGACACGCCATGCATGCGAACGCACACGCCATGCATGTGAACACACGCCATGCATGAGCATGGCTCATGACACATAGCCATATGCATGCAAAACCCACTAATCAAAACAGCCAGTCACTTTGGCTTTGCACGCGTGCTATCTCCAAGCCGTAAGGACACTATTGGTCATTCTTGGTCATGGTCATTTCTGCCTCGGTTTGGCTGTGAACACCCCCATACCTCTTTGGTACGGTTGTATTCATGGCCGTACCTCCTTGGTATGGTTGTATTCATGGCAGTACCTCCTTGGTATGGTTGTATTCATGGCAGTACCTCCTTGGTACGGTTGTATTCATGGCAGTACCTCCTTGGTACGGTTGTATTCATGGCAGTACCTCCTTGGTACGGTTGTATTCATGGCAGTACCTCCTTGGCACGGTTGTATTCATGGCAGTACCTCCTTGGTATGGTTGTATTCATGGCAGTACCTCCTTGGTACGGCTGTATTCATGGCAGTACCTCCTTGGTATGGTTGTATTCATGGCAGTACCTCTTTGGTATGGTTGTATTCATGGCAGTACCTCCTTGGTACGGTTGTATTCATGGCAGTACCTCCTTGGTATGGTTGTATTCATGGCAGTACCTCCTTGGTACGGTTGTATTCATGGCAATACCTCCTTGGCACGGTTGTATTCATGGCAGTACCTCCTTGGTACGGTTGTATTCATGGCAGTACCTCCTTGGTATGGTTGTATTCATGGCAGTACCTCCTTGGTATGGTTGTATTCATGGCCGTACCTCCTTGGTACGGTTGTATTCATGGCCGTACGGTTGTATTCATGGCAGTACCTCCTTGGTACAATAGTATTCATGGCCGTACCTCCTTGGTTCGGCTGTATTCATGGCCGTACCTCCTTGGTATGGTTGTATTCATGGCAGTACCTCCTTGGCACGGTTGTATTCATGGCAGTACCTCCTTGGTACGGTTGTATTCATGGCAGTACCTCCTGGGTATGGTTGTATTCATGGCAGTACCTCCTTGGTATGGTTGTATTCATGGCAGTACCTCCTTGGCACGGTTGTATTCATGGCAGTACCTCCTTGGTATGGTTGTATTCATGGCAGTACCTCCTTGGTATGGTTGTATTCATGGGAGTACCTCCTTGGCACGGTTGTATTCATGGCAGTACCTCCTTGGTATGGTTGTATTCATGGCAGTACCTCCTTGGTATGGTTGTATTCATGGCAGTACCTCCTTGGCACGGTTGTATTCATGGCAGTACCTCCTTGGTATGGTTGTATTCATGGCAGTACCTCCTTGGTATGGTTGTATTCATGGCAGTACCTCCTTGGCACGGTTGTATTCATGGCAGTACCTCCTTGGTACGGTTGTATTCATGGCAGTACCTCCTTGGTACGGTTGTATTCATGGCAGTACCTCCTTGGTACGGTTGTATTCATGGCAGTACCTCCTTGGTACGGTTGTATTCATGGCAGTACCTCCTTGGCACGGTTGTATTCATGGCAGTACCTCCTTGGTACGGTTGTATTCATGGCAGTACCTCCTTGGTACGGTTGTATTCATGGCAGTACCTCCTTGGTATGGTTGTATTCATGGCAGTACCTCCTTGGTATGGTTGTATTCATGGCAGTACCTCCTTGGCACGGTTGTATTCATGGCAGTACCTCCTTGGTACGGTTGTATTCATGGCAGTACCTCCTTGGTATGGTTGTATTCATGGCAGTACCTCCTTGGTATGGTTGTATTCATGGCAGTACCTCCTTGGCACGGTTGTATTCATGGCATTGGTACGGTTGTATTCATGGCAGTACCTCCTTGGTACGGTTGTATTCATGGCAGTACCTCCTTGGTACGGTTGTATTCATGGCAGTACCTCCTTGGTACGGTTGTATTCATGGCAGTACCTCCTTGGCACGGTTGTATTCATGGCAGTACCTCCTTGGTATGGTTGTATTCATGGCAGTACCTCCTTGGTACGGTTGTATTCATGGCAGTACCTCCTTGGTATGGTTGTATTCATGGCAGTACCTCCTTGGTATGGTTGTATTCATGGCCGTACCTCCTTGGCACGGTTGTATTCATGGCAGTACCTCCTTGGTATGGTTGTATTCATGGCAGTACCTCCTTGGTATGGTTGTATTCATGGCCGTACCTCCTTGGTACGGTTGTATTCATGGCAGTACCTCCTTGGTATGGTTGTATTCATGGCAGTTCCTCCTTGGTATGGTTGTATTCATGGCAGTACCTCCTTGGTACGGTTGTATTCATGGCAGTACCTCCTTGGCACGGTTGTATTCATGGCAGTACCTCCTTGGTACGGTTGTATTCATGGCAGTACCTCCTTGGTATGGTTGTATTCATGGCAGTACCTCCTTGGTATGGTTGTATTCATGGCCGTACCTCCTTGGTACGGTTGTATTCATGGCCGTACGGTTGTATTCATGGCAGTACCTCCTTGGTACAATAGTATTCATGGCCGTACCTCCTTGGTTCGGCTGTATTCATGGCCGTACCTCCTTGGTACGGTTGTATACATGGCCGTACCTCCTTGGTACGGTTGTATTCATGGCCGTACCTCCTTGGTACGGTTGTATTCATGGCCGTACCTCCTTGGTACGGTTGTATTCATGGCCGTACCTCCTTGGCTCGGTTGTATTCACAGCATACCTCCTTGGTTCGGTTGTATTCACAGCATACCTCCTTGGTTCGGTTGTATTCACAGTATACCTCCTTGGTTCGGTTGTATTCACAGCATACCTCCTTGGTTCGGTTGTATTCACAGCAGGTTCGGTTGTATTCACGGCCATACCTCCTTGGTTCGGTTGTATTCACGGCCGTACATCCTTGGTTCGGTTGTATTCACGGCCATACCTCCTTGGTTCGGTTGTATTCACGGCCATACCTCCTTGGTTCGGTTGTATTCATGGCCATACCTCCTCGGTTCGGTTGTATTCATTGCCATACCACCTTAGTTCGGTTGTGTTCATTGCCGCACTTCCTTGGTTCGGTTGCATTCGTTGCCGTACCTCCTTGATTCGGTTGTATTCATTGCCGTACCTCCTTGGTTCTGTTGTATTCGTTGCCGTACCTCCTTGGTTCGGTTGTATTCATTGCCGTACCTCCTTGGTTCGGTTGTAATCACGTGCAACAGCAAGGAATTCGGGGTTGGACGTGAGCTGCTCCAGGCGCACACGCTGGCAGCAAGGGCAGAGGCAGAGGCGAATGGGCAGAGGGCGAAGGGACAGAGGAGGAAGGGGCAGAGGGAGAATGGGTAGAGGGGAAAGGGGCAAAGGGCGAAGGGACAGAGGGGGAAGGGGCAGAGGGAAAACTGACAGGAGGGGGAAGGGGCAGAGAGGGAAGGGGCAGACGGGGAAGGGGCAAATGGCGAAGGGGCAAGGGGAGAAGGGTCAGAGGAGAAAACAGCGAGTGCAGGCGAGGTGACATGAGAGGTAATGCAGGCGCGCGAGGTGTAGCAGGGCAGAAGAGCAGCGAAGTAGCACTCACTGCTTGGTCTCGTGCCAAACTGACTTCAGCCTTGCGCGCCAACAGATGGCTCCTGGCGGAGCAGAGAGAACATCGTGGACAGATGAAAGATTGACATTGGAGGAAGAACGGGGATTTGGCAGTGCGATGGTGGATGGCAGTGCGATGGTGGATGGCACCTGGTGTGCTGCACTGGGCTCACCTGGTGTGCTGCAGTGCCAGCACGGTGACTCTCGTGTATGTGGCGGCTCGGACCTGCTGCTCCACCGCTCTGCACCGTGCAGCATGCAGCATGGGAGACCAGGCGTGTGAAAGAGGGTGGCAAGGCATAGCATGGCCACATCTCACACCTTCATGACCACATGTGAGGGGTTGAAAGAAATGCTCCGTCGGCCCAACCACCTCGTATGGTCAACACATACAGCTTGGCCACCTCGTATGGTCAACACACACAGCTTGGCCACCTCGTGTGGTCAACACACACAGCTTGACCACCTCGTGTGGTCAACACACACAGCTTGACCACCTCGTGTGGTCAACGCACACAGCTTGACCACCTCGTGTGGTCAACGCACACAGCTTGACCACCTCGTGTGGTCAACGCACACAGCTTGACCACCGGGCTGTTCCTGCTTCCCAACCTTGTCTAAGTTGATAGTCTGAACTACACATCTTCTAAATGCTTAAGATAATTTCACCTCTTAGCCCCTCCCTCTTACTCTACCTCCCCTCCACTCTCCCCCTCTCACTCCCCCCCTCGCCCTCACTCACTCTTCCTTGCACTGCAGCAGGGCAGCGCTTGCCTCCACCAGCTTACACCGCCTCCCATCCTGCCATGCACCATGCACCATGCACCATGCGCCATGCACCATGCACCATGCACCATGCACCATGCGCCATGCGCCATGCGCCATGCGCCATGCGCCATGCGCCATGCGCCATGCGCCATGCGCCATGCGCCATGCGCCATGCGCCATGCGCCATGCGCCATGCGCCATGCGCCATGCGCCATGCGCCATGCGCCATGCGCCATGCGCCATGCGCCATGCGCCATGCGCCATGCGCCATGCGCCATGCACCATGCACCATGCACCATGCGCCATGCACCATGCACCATGCACCATGCACCATGCACCATGCACCATGCACCATGCACCATGTGCCATGCACCATGCGCCACACACTATGCACCATGCGCCATGCACCATGCACCATGCACCATGCACCATGCGCCATGCACCATGCGCCATGCACCATGCGCCATGCACCATGCGCCATGCACCATGCGCCATGCACCATGCACCATGCGCCATGCACCATGCACCATGCGTCATGCAATACGTAGATCGTGTGTGGGGGGAGGGGGGGCAAGAGTGGGAGGTTGGCAAGTCAGGCGGTCAAGCCTAAACGGCTCAGTGGGCAGCACAAGGGGCAAGGCGGCATGGCACGAGGCATGCGGCATGGCGGCAGGTGTTGGACTTGCATGGCGGCAGGTGACAGCGAAGATAGTGCTACATGCTCTTGTACATTTAAGAACCGCCCAGCTGCATCTCTGCAAGCACGCCCATGAGCAAGTTCTGAAAGCCATTGAACACACCCGTTACCGGTGTGCTGCGGTGAGATGCCTAGGGTTGAAATCAATGGGTGCTGTGCTGGTAACTAATCCACAGCAGTTAACTGGTACTACAGGGTTCGAAGCATGTGCTGTGGTTGCATGCAATGAGCAACAAAGAGTGGTTACCAGCGGGTGCTGTTGGAGTGTCTTGAAGTGCAGCAAGGTGAGGAGGTCCCTGGTCACCCTCACGTGCTCCTGAGCGGCAAGCCCAAAGATGACACGGTGGGGGGGGCAGAAGGTAAGGAGGATGCCAGGCAAAGAGAAACGGTTAAGGAAGAACCAAGAAAATCACGGAGGGCCATAAGTGTTAGCTGAGGAGGGCATAAGTGGTAGCTGAGGGGGCCATAAGTGGTAGCTGAGGGGGCCATAAGTGGTAGCTGGGGGGGCACGCTGCATGGTCCTTGGCTGTGCACTGCCCACCTGCGCCAGCGTGGCTCGAGTGTTGGCCGTGGTGAGCAGCAGGCGCGCGATGGCGCCCTCCCTCTCCCGCACCCTCCGCACCTCCTCCCGCACTCTGCCCACATGCGGGGGAGTAAGCGGTCGGGCGGACGGGTGGGAGGGCTGGCAGGCGGGCAGGAACAAGGGTCTTCACTTGATGTGGACTAGCATGGAAAGCTGGAGCTTGCAGAACGCTCGAGGTAGCTTCAAGCAACAGACATGTAAGCATTCTTCTAGAGAAAGCATAACAGCAACAAGGCTAGAAGAGGGGTCAACCGAAGGGATAATGTAGCAGATGAGTCAAGTTCCGGTCTGCCGAATCCATACCCTTGAAGCCTTCGACAGTGCATCTAGGAATATACAACAAAAAGCATTCTATAGAAGCAGTGCAAGTAGCAAGCGATAGCCCCCATGACCAGTTATCACCGCGTGACAGCTCACCGTGTGACAGCTCACCGCGTGACAGCTCACCGCGTGACAGCTCATCGCGTGACAGCTCACCGCGTGACAGCTCACCGCGTGACAGCTCACCGCGTGACAGCTCATCGCGTGACAGCTCACCGCGTGACAGCTCACCGCGTGACAGCTCACCGCGTGACAGCTCACCGCGTGACAGCTCACCGCGTGACAGCTCACCGCGTGACAGCTCACCGCGTGACAGCTCACCGCGTGACAGCTCACCGCGTGACAGCTCACCGCGTGACAGCTCACCGCGTGACAGCGTCGGTGTCAGTGTTGGAGGCATCGTCCCCCAGACTCACTGCAGGGCGGCCGAGGGCAGATGGAGGCAGAGGGCACACGGAAGGGGAGGGCACATGGAGGGGGAGGGCACATGGAAGGGGGAGGGCTCATGGAAGGGGGAGGGCTCATGGAAGGGGGAGGGCTCATGGAAGGGGAGGATGATGAAGACAAGGCAGGTGGACACACGGAGGCCAGAGAGACGCAATCAGGGCATTGGGTTGGTTGTGATGCATGTGTTGACAGGGGTCCGGCTCGTAGGATGCTGCGTGCACGCAACACGTATTCCCATTATAAAGGCTCTTCCACTAGACATTCCAGACCAGACCCGGTATTGACTCACACCTGCGGCTAAAGGCTGATGCCTGCCACACTCGTATGTTCGCCAAAAACAGTCACAACAGACTCAATTAAGTCATATCGCACTTGATACAGTCACATCACAATCAATACAGCAAGTCAATATTCAGTGACAACGCACAGTGAATGAAGGTCTTGATGTTGGCTGCAGATGACGCCACTGCATCAATGACGCGCTGCTGCAGTCTCATCTGAGTCGCCTTGTTCTGCCACGCACCAACACACACGTGGCACCACTGCTGAGTGCATAGTGCCGTATCACACAAGCACTCAAGTGCAGCATGTGATGATCACAGAGTGGCCTCAAGTGGTGCACAGCACAAGCTACATCCGTTGCACCCCGTCCCTGATTAGCAACACGCCCCGCCGCATCACTCGTCACCTTCACCACAGGTGTAGGGGCACGACCCTCCAGGTGTAGGGGCACGACCCTCCAGGTGTAGGGGCACGACCCTCCAGGTGTAGGGGCACGACCCTCCAGGTGTAGGGGCACGACCCTCCAGGTGTAGGGGCACGACCCTCCAGGTGTAGGGGCACGACCCTCCAGGTGTAGGGGCACGACCCTCCAGGTGTAGGGGCACGACCCTCCAGGTGTAGGGGCACGACCCTCCAGGTGTAGGGGCACGACCCTCCAGGTGTAGGGGCACGACCCTCCAGGTGTAGGGGCACGACCCTCCAGGTGTAGGGGCACGACCCTCCAGGTGTAGGGGCACGACCCTCCAGGTGTAGGGGCACGACCCTCCAGGTGTAGGGGCACGACCCTCCAGGTGTAGGGGCACGACCCTCCAGGTGTAGGGGCACGACCCTCCAGGTGTAGGGGCACGACCCTCCAGGTGTAGGGGCACGACCCTCCAGGTGTAGGGGCACGACCCTCCAGGTGTAGGGGCACGACCCTCCAGGTGTAGGGGCACGACCCTCCAGGTGTAGGGGCACGACCCTCCAGGTGTAGGGGCACGACCCTCCAGGTGTAGGGGCACGACCCTCCAGGTGTAGGGGCACGACCCTCCAGGTGTAGGGGCACGACCCTCCAGGCACCCGCACAGGCCTGCGAGGAAGAGCAGCGGACATGCTGTACCACGCACTGCCTGCCCACCACCAACACATGCCGCTCACCGCTGCAGCGCTGGAAGCGGCTCGCTGCAGGCACGCCGGCTCCACTCCCAGCAGCTGCTGCCGCGATTGGCCCAACCGCCCCGCCAGCCCCGCTTGAGGTGCGTGCGAGGGTGGGTGTGAGGGGACGCCTTGCACCCGTGCAGCGAGGGGCGTGGTGGGCGAGGCGGGTGGACGCACGGCAAGCAAGGGGTCGAGCGTGCTGCTCAGGTACGCCAGTATCTGCAGGAGAGGGAGGGGGGCAGCGCGGCGGAGAGGGGTGAAGGGGAACGCGGTGTTGCATGGGGGTGCAGCGAGGGATGAAGGGACAGGGAGAGCATGGGAAGCGGAACAGCAGCTGCCCCCAGCCATGCGCACCTTTCCATTCCCCTGCCACCCCCCACTGCCACCCCCCACTGCCACCCCCCACTGCCACCCCCCACTGCCACCTCGCACCCACTGCATCTTCAGCCACCGAATGGCCATGTGGCGGCCCTTATGTGGTGACCATGTCATTCGCACTCACTCATCCTCGCGCTCATTCATCCACCCGCCACACCCTCACCGCATTGTGATTGTGCGCGCCATGCCCGCCCTCCGCGCTCTCCTCACTGTACATCTCCGCCACCGCCGCCAACACCACCTGTTACCGCACCGCACCCTCGCCAGGGGGCCGTTACACATTGGGGCGGCAAGTGGGTGAGAGGAAGGGGGGGTGGCGGGATGGGGAAAGTAGGATAGAGGACTGGCGGCAGCTTTGAGTGGGTGCACAGACGCGCGCCTCTCTGTGCCACACTGCCCACCGCACCTCCATTGAGACATGAAGCACGGTGGCCGGGGAGAGGGGGGAGGGAGGAGGAAGGCAGGGGTGAGAGGAGAATCATGGGGGATGGCGGCATGAGGGCGGGATGGCGGCATGAGGGCGGGATGGCGGCATGAGGGCAGGACGAGGCGACAAAATGGTGTTGGTGGGGCACTGGGATCGTCCCGAGTTGAGTGTGGGAGGGCTACAGGCGCGGCCTGGGGGGTTATGGGTGTGCTACCCACCATACAAACATGCCCTTTTAACCCAGTCGGTAGCAGGCTGGGCCAACAAATGGAAGCACCGGTGTAAGTGAATGGATGTCAAGGTTAAAAATTACTACTGTATTTTCGCCACAGCTCTACGATTTCTGACAGGAGCCTATCACAGGATACCAAATTTTAACGACCGTATTTTTGAACCTTGATGGAGGCTGTGCGCGTGGTGAAGGGAAACGCGAAGAGACATGGAATTGGGAAAGAGATGGATCAACTGTTGGACCAAACACTCTCTGCTCCTCTCCTCCCCGCTCACTCCCCATTTCATTTCTCCCCCCACCATTGCGCGCATCTCCCCTTACCGCCGCGCGCATCTCACCCGCTGCTCCAGGTACTGCCGCTGCGCGTCGTCGCGGTCCACGAGAGCCTGCCAGGCAGCCAGTCACGGGCGGACGCGTGGCATCGTTGGACGGAAAATATCAGCGACACAGGAGTCGGGTCAACGGTTGGGTGAGGAGGGGAGACGGCTAGAGCAGCGCAGCAAGCGAACAACCAACTACGCGAAATCGTTTCGACACCCGCAGCGAGGAGGCTCACCGGATTCATGGCCGCGCGTGGCCGTTCCGCCCGCACCGCACGCTGCACTGCGCGCACGGCCGAGAAAGGCTGGGATGAGCTCTGCTAGGGTGAGGTGCAGCTGCCGTATGCTACACGTGAAGGAAGGTTGTGGGAGAGGGGCTCCAGAAATAGGGGACAATTGCATGTGAAATGGGACGGAATGTGGCAACGAATAACTGACGCTGGCAGTGGAATGACCTACTGGGGTCGACGTGCATGTCACCCAGACGGAACGCCTTCCTCTGCGCCAGGGTCGTCGTCAGGCAGGTCACGGAGCGGCAAATCTCGAGTTTGCGTGCATGCGGTACCAAACATTCGAACTTCGGTAATGCGGGCGCTTTCAGGGTTCGATATGGCGCGTCAGACTCGTAACCGCTCCGTCGGCTCCTTTCTCCGTAATCAGTCGTAACCGCGTCAAATCTAGAAACTGGGAGCAGACGAGTGCAAGCACACACGACATCCCGTTTGTGGGTCGGCTGTCCCCGACAGAGCCACAAGCTTCGGGGCTAGATCAAGATTCAAGACCTGCTGGGGTACCCAAAACATGGTTACCGCTTTTCGCCGTTCGTATATTTAGAGCTACGAGTTACCCCTGACGAACTTATCAATGTCTCGCAAATAAAAGTCCGAGAAATTCGTTCGTTTGGGCATGTCATGCCCATGTGATGCCCCCAAGACACTGCACGCTTTTGGTTCGGAATAGATGATGCTTGGCATCCCAGTAGTCAGGTTATCGTTATGACGTAGGATGTGCGACCGAACCTTGTAAGTGCCTAATACCCACATCCATGCTAATTTCATACGGACGAGAACATGTGCGTGTCGCACTTAACATTGTAGCAACTGCTGGCGACGATTTGTGATTGTACCGCGTGGTGGCGAGCGTATCTGCAGGGCCAGTTCTCGCTGTCGGAAAACGATCCCAAGCGCGCAGGGGAATTCTATGCGGGGGTCGCTTCCTGCCAACCCCGCCCGTCCATGGACCCACACCCGCGCCGCAGGTCGCCCCACTCCGCCAGCGGGCCGCCTAATCGCGCTGCGCGCCCCAGCGCCGCCGCCAGCGGTGGCGGCGGCGGCTTCGGTGAAACCGTTAACCGCGGCGACGGGGCTGCGCGCGATGCGGACTTGACACCCGCGCGGTTGGCGGAGATGGCGGAGCGACGGCAGTTGGCGCAACTGAGGGAATTGGATGATATGGAGCTGGAGGAAGAGGGGGAGGACGAGGGGGGGGAGGAGGGGGAGGGGAGGGGAAGGGGCAGAGGGTGGCGCAGGTCCATGGGCGCACTGGGGGCCGCCGTGGCGGGGAGCGCGGAGGGCGAGGCGAGGCGGGCAGCGGCGGGCACGGGGTGGGCGAGTGGGGAGACAGTGGGAGGGGAAGGGGTGGGCGAGAGGGATGCGGAGGGGAGGCGGGCGACAGCAGGGGATTCGGAAGGTGAATGCTCGGGGGAGGCGTTATGTGGTGCAGGTAGTGACGGGGGAGAAGGAAGGAAGCATGGGGCGATGGAGCAGGGAGGAGGCAGAGCAGGCGGCAGTGGGCATGATGCTGACGTGGCGGGTGGCGAGGAGGAGGGAGGGGAGGGAGGCATGGGAGATGAGAGAGAGGTGGAGGAGGGGGAGGAAGGGGAGGAGGCAGGACCTTTCGAGGAGGGAGTGGAAGAGGAATTGGAGGAAGGGGAGGGGCGAGGGGAGGAGCAGATGGGGGAGGGAAGCGAGCATGGAGAGGTGCAGGCGAGGGGAGGCGGGGAGGAAGCAGGCCGTGGAGCTGACTGTGTGCGGTGCAATGAGGTGGGCCAGGGCAGTGGCGCGGTGCAGAGAGGTATGGACGAAGGGGATTGGCAGGAGGAGCAAGGCACAGGAGGGGCGAGGCGGCAGCAGCAGAGACAAAGGAGGCAAGCAGTGCGAGGCGAGGAGGGAGAAGGGGAGGCGATGCAAGAGGGAGAGGATGTTGTGGCGCGTGGGAGGGGCGGCACAGCCCAGAGAGAGGAGGCGGGGGGCATGGGGAGAGGTGCGCGGGAGGGGGCGGCGAGGGGAGGCGTGCAGGTGAGGGGAGGCGAGGTGGGGGCGGCGGAGAGAGCTCAGATGCATCAGATACGCGCGGTGGAGGGGGAAGAGCTGGAGGAGGAAGACGAGGAGGAGGAGGGGGAGGGAGGGGCGGGGAGGAGTGCAGGTGAGCGGCGAAGGCGAGCGTCGTGGCATGGCAACGGGCGGGGCAGCAGCAGGGGCACACAGGGGGGCGTGCAGGCAGGTGAGGGCAGGCGTGGAGAGGGGGGGCATGGGGGCGGGAGGGGAGATGGCTCCGCAGCACAGCAGCAGCTGCTGCAGGCATCACAGCAAGGGGATGAGGCAGGTGTCCTGAGCGGTGCAGAGGGTGGTGGAGGTGCCGGAAGGGGTGATGGAAGAGGTGCTGGTGCAGGAGCAGAAGGTGCGGGTGCATTGGCGGTGGTGGTGAGCGAGGTGGAGCGGCAGCAGATTGAGCGCATTCTGGCGATCCAGGGGGAGGAGCTGGAGGAGGAGGACATGGGTGAGGAAGACGAGGAGGAGGATGAGGAGGAGGGGGAGGAGAGGGGTCGGGCAGCAGTGGGCGAGGCGAGGCAGCATGCGCTGAGCTCCAGCGACAGCGATGACCCCAGGTGACCCATGCCTCAGGTGACCCATGCCTCAGGTGACCCATGCCTCAGGTGACCCATGCCTCAGGTGACCCATGCCTCAGGTGACCCATGCCTCAGGTGACCCATGCCTCAGGTGACCCATGCCTCAGGTGACCCATGCCTCAGGTGACCCATGCCTCAGGTGACCCATGCCTCAGGTGACCCATGCCTCAGGTGACCCATGCCTCAGGTGACCCATGCCTCAGGTGACCCATGCCTCAGGTGACCCATGCCTCAGGTGACCCATGCCTCAGGTGACCCATGCCTCAGGTGACCCATGCCTCAGGTGACCCATGCCTCAGGTGACCCATGCCTCAGGTGACCCATGCCTCAGGTGACCCATGCCTCAGGTGACCCATGCCTCAGGTGACCCATGCCTCAGGTGACCCATGCCTCAGGTGCCACGTGCCTTAGGTGTCACGTGCCTCAGGTGCCACACATGTGCATGTGGTGCCATGGGGGCAGCTGTTAGAATTATATATTGTAGCATGCTAAGCACATGTGACTGTACACCAATTGTGGTGTACAGTTGGGTTGGGACTACACCCAACATTGGGTGTAGTCTTGCACTTTGGGGTGCCAATCCACCCAATTGTGGTGGAGCCCCCAAATTGCAACCCTCTTGACTTTTGGGTACCTCACTTCTTAATTGAGGCCACCACAAGCCAAGTGGGCCTAGGGTTGCCACACTTCTTAGAAGTGTGGGCAACCCAACCCACCCCACCTATGGTTGCCTCACTTCCCCAAGTGAGGTCAACCCAACCATAGGTTGGGTTCATCCTTCCCTTCCAACCTTCTCTTCCAAAACTAAGTATGCTAGGTTTGCTCTCTAATGATATTACTTGTTCAACTCACATATTTCACAGCAGCCTCCTCATAACAAGGTAACACCTTTTTTTGGTTCGAGATGAGCTAGAATTAGACTGCCATCACACCACTGCTACAGCACTGCCCCATCCCACTGTCAGGTCTGATTTTATCTCATCCGTGAATCATCCATACATGCAGGGGCGACGGGGACGCGTTGGGGATGCATGGAGGACTCACATTCGATCCAGCCATCACTTCGCTGCACACATACCTTGGAGGTACGTGCATGCTGCATGCTGCATGGTGCATGTAGCATGGTGCATGGTGCAAGGCACATGGTGCATATGGTGCATGGTCGTTCTTAGTGATGTGTCATGATCAGTTACTTGAGTTCATATCATAGCCATGTCATCATCACTGCTCAAAGCATGAGTGCACCACCACAGGGCTACAGCCCTCGCCTGCACCACCACAGGGCTACAGCCCTCGCCTGCACCACCACAGGGCTACAGCCCTCGCCTGCACCACCACAGGGCTACAGCCCTCGCCTGCACCACCACAGGGCTACAGCCCTCGCCTGCACCACCACAGGGCTACAGCCCTCGCCTGCACCACCACAGGGCTACAGCCCTCGCCTGCCCGTCATCTCACCGCACGTGTCGCTCACCCCTGGACCTGTGGGCAGAGGGGGACGACATCACAGGAGCACAAGCGTTTGCTGAGGGAGGCACCATTCTTCGCCTGCCCATGTTCTACCTTGAAGGTAAGCCTCCAGGGTAAGCCTCCAAGGTAAGCCTCCAAGCTAAGCCTTGGTTCTCCCACTGCCATTCAGCCCGCCCTTCCCTACCCTCCCTCCTCTCCACTTCACCTGCGTGTCGATACCTCCCACTGCATGCCCGTAACTGTGTGGGACCGGCCTGTCATGTTGGCATCACTTGCCATCACTCTGCACCGTGCTGCCATCACTCTGCACCGTGCTGCCATCACTCTGCACCGTGCTGCCATCACTCTGCACCGTGCTGCCATCACTCTGCACCGTGCTTGTTAGAATTGAACCGTTAATTTGATTAGGGATCAAGAGGGCTTACATAGTTGAAGCTAGGGAAGGTGGGTTGGTTGGGTACCTAGCCAACATTATTGGCCCCCCACCAATAAGTTGGGTTGGAGAATTATTGGGGGGTCCCAATAATGTTGGCCAAAGTGAGCCAACATTATTGGGGGGTCCCAATAATGTTGGCCAAAGTGAGCCAACATTATTGGGGGGGCCAATAATCTCCCAACCCAACCTTGGGGGCCAATAATTAGGCCAAGGTTGGGTTCCAACCCCCAACTAGGGTTAACCCTAGTTTGTGCACCCAAACATAGTTTGGGTGCTTATCTCTATCCTAGGGTTTATAGGATCAATGTAGGACACAAAAGAGTAGTATAATCTAACACAACCCCTTAGCCTGCAGAGATCCATAAACCTGGAGGAGATAAGACAGCAACCCCTGAATCAGTCACCATGGGGAGTAAGGCCCAGGAGGGGTAAGATTGCCGAGTGAGTAGAAAATGTCGGCGGGGTTGGAGGAGGAGTCGATCTTGCGTACGGTAATGTGGCCATCCTGGACAAGGTCGCGAATGAAGTAGTGTCGGAGCTCGATATGTTTAGAGCGACCATGAAAAACAGCTTCTTTGGTGAGGTGGATGGTGCTGGCGTTGTCACACCAGAGGGTGGGACAGGGCTATGGTGAGCCAAGGTCTGTGAGGAGATAACTGAGCCAGCGTGCTTCTTGGGCTGCCATCGTGACCGTGTACAGTTCGGCCTCACAGGAGGAGAGGGCGATGGCGGAGGAGCGGGTGGAGCGCCAGCTGATAAGACCGCTCCCAAGGGTGAAGCCATATCCCTGTGAGCTGCGACGGTCGGGCTGTGAGTCTGCCCAAGACGAGTCACTGAAGCCAGTGAGAACCGGTGGGTCTGCTCCACCGAGGGTGAGGGTATAATGCTTCGTGTGTTGAAGGTAGCGTAGGACACGCCGGGCTGCTGTCATGTGTTCCTCTGTGTGCCTGCCGACACCAACGAACCGCGCCAGGACACTGACTGGGTATGCAAGGTCGGGGCGGGTGCAGACCATGGCGTACATCAGGGCCCCAACGAGCTCTGCATAAGGGTTCGAGGAGTCGGTGGGGGTGGCAGGGGGTGAGAGCTAGTGCCCGACTGCAAGTGGCGTGGCGATGGGCTTGGCCTTTGACATTCCAAACCTCTCAAGGACCTTCTCAATGTAGAAGGACTGTGAGAGGGAAATAGTCTTGGCCTTGAGGTCGCGGGTGATCTCCATGCCAAGGTAGTTGCGGACCTCCCCGAGGTCTTTGCAGGCGAGGCGGCGTTGTAGTTCGTCCTTGACCTTTTGCAGCTCAGCATCTGTGTCAGCGGCCAGTAGCATATCGTCGACGTATACGAGAATGTAAAAAGGGGATGGAGTAGTCCGAAGGAAGAGGCTGGAGGCAGCTCGGGAGGGGCGAAAACCAAGCTCGCGAAGGGTGGAAGAGAGCTTGGCATGCCACTCCCGGGGTGCCTGCTTGAGACCGTAGACTGGCCGCAGCAGCTTCCAAACGGTGGCCGGGTCATGTGGAGCGTGAAAGCCTTGGGGGCGTTCCATGAATATGAGTTCGTGTAGGTCGCATTGGAGGAAGGCGGTAGTGACATCCATGGAGTGTAGCAGCATGCCGCGTCTGCCGACGAAGTCGAGAAACACCCGTACAACCGGTGGAGAAGCAGTGGGTGAGTAGGTTTCGAAGAAGTCAAAGCCGTGTTTCTGCGTGAAGCCCTTCGCCACACAGCGGGCTTTGTAGACTGTGTCCTTGCCAGGGAGAAGCTTGACACGAAAGAGTCATTTGCCCTTGACCACATTGGTCTTGGCAGGGCGAGGGACGTCGATGAAGGAGCGGTTGTGGATGAAGGCATTACTCTCCTTGACCATAGCTTCAATCCAGAGCGGTGCGTCGAGGCAGGCAATAGCCTCCTCGTATGTGGTGGGGGTGAAGATGGTGGGGGTGCCCGAGAAAAGCAGAACTGGAGTGCCGGCCATGGTGCGGACGATGGGGGCGATGGAGGGCGCGAGGAGGTGGAGGAAGAGGAGTTCGTCGTGGGTGTCTTCATAGAGGAGAGGAGAGAGAGGAGGAGGTAGGGGGGGTGGTGAAGATGCAAGACAGCTGCGCTGGAGGTCGAGTCTGGGACATGGTAGTGCTGCTGCTCGGCTGCGCGGTGTTGCACTCAGGAGCGTGGAGCAGTTGCGCTGTGGGTCTGGAGTGAGGGGACTGAAGCGGGGGGGAAGGGGAGTACCGGTGAGGGCGAGGAGGGAGGAGGGAGCGGTCTGTGGGGGACCAAGGATGGGGTCCAGGGAGCGGGTATGGGGATAGTGGGGGAGGACAAGGGTAGGGGAGGGGCGCCGAGGAAGAGGGGGGGGGGGGGGGGGGGGGGGGAGGGGAGGGGAGTTAGAGGAGGGGAGGGGGATGGAGGGGAAGGGGGCGGGGGAGGTGGAGGAGGGGGAGGAGGTGGAGGGAGGTGAGTTGCAGTGGAAGGTGAGGTAGTGGAGTGGGAGGGGGAGGGAGGGGGTGGGTTGAGGATGTCGCCGGAGGAGCTGGAGGAGAGGGGAGCGGGGGGGAGGGGAGGAGGAGGGGGGGGAGGGGTCATGGCGGGGGAGGGGAGGAGGGGCAGGGTGTCAGTCCAGAGGAGGGGCCGGGAAGATGGGGGAAGGGGGTTAGGGGCGGAGGGGGAGGTGTAGTACGGGGTGGCCTCGTCAAAGACCACGTCCCGACTACGGATGAGGCGGCCTGAGGGGGGGTGGAGGAAAAGGTAGTCAGGTGAGTTGGTGTTGTGTCCAAGGTAGACACTGGGGAGAGTGCGGGACGCGAGCTTTCCACTTGCACGTGGGCGGTCTGCAGGGTGTATGAGGACATACGCCTTGCAACCCCACATGCGCAGAGAGGAGATGTCAGGCTTGCTGGAGGTCCATAGTTCGGTGGGGGTGGTGGTGGGACGGGAGGGGTGGGGGTAGAGGTTAGTGAGTATGGCAGCGTGAAGGATGGCATAGCCCCAAAGAGAAGGTGGGCAGGAGGCGTGAACGAGGAGGCACCGAGCAGTTTTGGTGATCTCCCGAACGCGGCTCTCCGCCACACCATTCTGCTGAGGGGAGT